GACATTGTTTTCCCCTTCCTATGTTCGTCGTCTTCTACTCTCTCTCTCTCTCTCTCTCTCTCTCTCTATCTTTTCTGAGCTTAATCTCTCAACCTGTTTGTCCCTCGTATCAACTTTTTCCCTTTCCCTTTTTCTATTTCACCTGGTACACGTTTGTGTGTCTCTGTACTTTGTGCACCTTGATGTACACTAATTGAAGTTCAATTAAAAGCTAATTATCAAAATAATAAAACGTGAGTGGCATATTCTGGACCCATGGATTCTTTGATGGTCTAAAAAATATATCAAGGGCTATGGTGTGGCTTCTTGGTGCAAGGTGTAAAGGGCAGTAGTCTTAGAAATAGATAGCAAAAAAGGTGTGGCTTCTTGGTGCAAGGTGTAAAGGGCAGTAGTCTTAGAAATAGATAGCAAAAAAGAAAATCATAACCTTAGGTTGAAAGATAAAGTGAAAAAAAAAAAAGTAACAGAAAAATTTGGGGAAAGTATTACTATCTCATATGTACCACTGGTCTTCTCACAACGTGATTTGCTCCTCCTATGATTCTTCTCTAACTATTGAACATGTATTTCTATTTTCTAGGTTAGCATCTTCTCTTGTCCACAACTTCTCATCCCCAAATCTTATATTTTAGACGGGCATATTATTTTATCTCAAGTATTTCTGAAGGGCTATTAGAGAACTACCTACTGGCCATTGGAGAAACACCTACAGGATATTGGAGAGCTACTTACTGGCCTTTTCTCTCACCACTTCCTCTTGCGTGGTTTACAGAGGAATCTTGCATGGGGCTTCAAACCATCCATGAAATGTAAAGCTACATGAACCTTGAGTTCAATGACCTATGCTAGATCAACTTTCAATAAGCAATAACAAAATATGATGCCTATTATGGTCCATTAATCATCGGAACTGGATGCAGGTGTACATGATGCCTGAGGGCAATAAAAAAGGGGATCTTCGGCTCTACCGAGCACTTCATTTTCCTCTGCAATGGAAATTGGAGAGGGTATTGTTGAAGAAACCGCTGATCGATGCTTCTATGATTCAATATGAAGGTTATTACTGGCTCTTCGGCTCAGATTTCAGTCGGTTTGGTGCCCAGAAGAATGCGGAGTTGGAAATATGGTATAGTAGCTCTCCTCTTGGCCCTTGGAAACAGCATAAACACAACCCTGTACTTAATGGAAATCGAACCCTAGGTGCCCGTAATGCTGGACGCCCTTTTATATATGAAGGGTACATTTATCGTCCTGGTCAGGACTGTGGGGAGACCTATGGCCATCGTGTTCGCCTCTTTAAAGTGGAATTACTAAGCCCTGATAAATTTCAAGAAGTTGAAGTTCTTCTTGGTATTGAAGAGTCAAAGAAAGGACGCAATGCTTGGAATGGCCTACGCTACCATCACTTGGATGTTCAGCAATTACCGTCTGGCGATTACATAGCTGTAATGGATGGGGACCGGGTTCCTTCTGGGGATTCCACAAGAAGGCTTGTTCTTGGTTTCACTGGTCTTCTAATTTTGTTTACCCTTGTTATGGTCATGGGTTTCTTGGTTGGTGCTGTTAATTTTCCTCCCTTGAGCTGGTGCACATGTTATGTTAGGAAAAGCTACCCTTTGTGGTTTTGGGCACACCCCCAATTTGGTTCGAAGCTTCGAAGGGCCTTTACATCCTTGAATAGAACAAGCTCTTCCATCAGAGGCAGGATGAAGCCGAGGTCATGTTTTGGTATCTCAATTCTGTGCAGTCTCTCAGTTCTAGCTGTGGTAGTGATATGCATATCTGTTGGGTATTTGTTTGGAGGCAATGGCTCTGAAGAGGCATATCCACTGAAAGGGGACTATTCTCAGTTCACACTTGTCACGATGACTTATGAGGCTAGGCTGTGGAACCTGAAACTCTATGTAAAGCACTACTCTCGTTGCTCATCAGTGAGAGAGATAGTCGTGGTTTGGAACAAGGGCACCCCTCCAGAAACCAATGAGTTCGACTCTTCGGTCCCTGTTCGTATACGTGTCGAACCCAAAAACTCTTTGAACAATCGTTTCAAGGTGGACCCACTTATTAAGACAAGGGCAGTGCTTGAGCTCGATGATGATATAATGATGACGTGTGATGATGTAGAGAGAGGTTTTAGGGTTTGGCGTGAGCACCCAGAGAGGATTGTGGGATTCTATCCTCGGTTCATTGAGGGGTCTCCTTTGGAGTATAGAGACGAACGATATGCACGACGAAGAAATGGATATAATATTATATTGACTGGTGCTGCATTTTTGGATGCTAGTTTTGCATTTGAGAGATATTGGAGTGTGGATGCGAAAGAAGGGAGAGGAGTTGTTGACCAGTATTTCAACTGTGAGGATATGCTTATGAATTTCCTTTATGCAAACTCTAGCATGCACCGGACTGTAGAGTATGTTCATCCAGCTTGGGCCATAGACACATCAAAGATATCAGGTGTTGCCATAAGTAGGGATACTCAAATGCACTATAGGATAAGGACCAATTGCTTGCTCAAGTTCTCTAAAATGTATGGGTATCTTCCTTCGAGGAAATGGGAGTTTGGAAGCAGGAAAGATGGGTGGGATGTGTAGGTTGGGCTACACTAAGAAATGCAATTTAGATATCCCTTTCATGGTGCGCTGCTCCGACAACTGGCTTGCTTAAGAGTCTCATATATGTTCTGTGTGTTAAATAGAGAATTGGGCAAAAATGACCATGGATGGTGTCCTGTGAATGTGAGGATGGGTATGCTTTATTGGTCAATGTTTTGCATGTTGCTTGGAAAGTGCTTTGCAGTAGTTCTTAGAGGCTCCTTAGAACACAGGCTTGTTGAGTTGTAAACTACCAGAAAAAAAAAAAAGAAATAGAAAAAATACCAGATTTTTTTTTTTATTCCTTTTTGTTTTTTTGAATTGTAAATTCTCCGTGCTTATTGGTTGGTAGACAAAATTACGGTTCAACGTTCGGAGCTCGTGGTGGTTAACGCTATTGCTTTTGTATAAATTGAAATTTTGTCATGTTTCAAATAACACTTGATAAAAAAAAAATGAATCTTGTTTGTTAGGGTAGGTCAAGTTATTGAAATATCCTTATTTAGGGTTCAGAAATATCCTTATTTAGGGTTCCCAAATGTAAATAGAGGCAATTTGGGTATATTAAAAATATTTTTGATGAAGCATTTGAGTGAAATCAAACTGTAAATGTAAACCCTCGTATCTTAGTTAGGATCTTTTGAGCCACCCCTTAAGCAATTTTGTAAGTGGTTTCGACCCCTGAAATGATATTTTCCCAATCTTTTATGTTGGCACTTTCGGGCAAGGAATTTAAATTCAAGAAGCATCAATATAGGGATTTTGAAAATTTACAAAATGCCCTATAAAATATGGAATTTTTAAAAAATTCCTACATAAGTGGTGTTTTACATTCAAGTCCTACCTTTTTCTTATTTTTTATTTCTCATTTTACCACCAGTTTGTACATATAATGTTTTTTTTTTTTAAGAGTTAAAAAGCATTTGAGACATTGGGCATTTGAATATCTCACTTTTGTAATTGAGGTAGTTCCGACATTGGATGCCCAACTACTCTGATTAAAGAAAGGGCAAATGTGGACGATTTAGTCATCTAATGCCGGAAATTTGCCCATAAGAGTACTTTGGACATCAAATATTTGTATAGCTCTCACTCAAAAAAAAAAAAAAAAAGGCAAATATGGGCGCGCTTCGAACATCCTATGTCTAAACTGGCCACATTTGTCTTCTATCATTTAGTCCAAAAGAGTCGTTCAGTCATCCAGTTTGGATATTGGATGCCCTAATCGTTTCTTTCAGTGAAAGATATATTTTAGCTTTTAGATCTTGGTCAAATGATTAAGAGCGCATATTATTAAGCTCAAATTTTAAATATCCATGCTTATCACCACCAGCACTCATAAAAATATAGAAACAATTCAATAAAAATAAAATGAGTAAAATATTGGGGGTATCGAGGTTATTTCTATTTTCTACATTTTACATGTGCTTGATGGTGATTACTGTGGATGCCCAAAATATGGGCTTAATCTAAATTTTAAAATCTAATAGGCACCCTCAAACTTTCATTACGGATTGGCAAGGTTAACTCTCTCTCTCTTATTTGTTTTTAATTTTTTGAGTGAATGCCCAAACTACTCATTTGGGCAAGAAGAAGAAAGACGAGTGTGGGTTTTTTAGACTTTTTTTTTTTTTGGTTTTTTTTTAGTGTTAACTAAGAGATTTTGTGATTTTGTTAAAAGAGTTATGCAATGAGAAATGTACAAGAAAGAGGAGAAAAAGAAGAGGTGGACAAAACAAAATCATATAGCTATTGAAAAGGAAAGAAAGGCCCAAAAAAAGGAGCACGGAGAAAGAGGGAAGAAGGTTGTCAAGGGATCCAAGAAGGCCTGTGTTGCCAATTGAACTATTACCTTCAGAATTTTACC